TTTTCAGGCTTCTTCTTTCCAATTGCTTAAATTGGAAAATTAACTGCGATGATCATTCTTCACTTTTAAATTACCTTTGTTTAACATTTTTGTCGGTCGTTCCTGACTCATTTTTGTAAAGATAACAAATAACGGCTTGACCAGCTAAAAAGCTGCACATGAGTGTCACTATGTAATGCAATGTAACTAACACCATCTTCGCGTTTATGAGAAAGGCCCAACTTTATAATAATAATAAAATCGGTGGTGGAAGGTTTGTCAACATCTTTTCCTGACGTTGAATGCGAACAAACAGTGCACACAAAGCTCTAGAAAATTGACCCTGGCGATCTACAGGAAAGTGTTTCGATGAAAGTTGACAAACAAAAGAGGACTGTGAAGGAACATATTCGCGAGCCGACCTCGGTGCGCCTTTCAAAGCTAGTAGGATGGTGCAGTTTTAAGAAATATCCCTCACTTTGCAGCTTTTCCATGCCTAATTTACCAACATACCCACAGAAAATGTCAAAGAAAAAGAAATGGGTGATGAACAAGTATGCAGGTATGTAGCTGATTATATCATCAATTCTTAGCTCATTCCCAAACGGTTTTAACTATATACCACTAAATTGAGTTACTCCAGGTATAACTCTACTTGAAAAGCACTTGTTAACTAATACGCCTTGAGCTACGGCAGGCTTCATATTCTCGGGTGGTCTCTCAGTCTCCTTGAGTTTTCAAATACTCACTCAAGAAAGAGCCCTTGATTCATCCCATGGTTTTACGGTTTACACACGCGGCTATTTCGCGAGCTGCGTATAAGAAGCAAGCACAGCAAACGTCCGCGATTATCGCAATCACAGTAGTGTACCAACGAGCTTCCATGTAGGGTAAATGAGGGGAAAAAAACAGCTAACGAAATGCGCAAAAACAAACAACCAAAAAAAAATGAAAAAAACACGTGCCAGACCATTGTTTTTCTTTTCACTCTATACCACCCTAATCCCCCCTCCAACAAGGGAGCATTTTCGCAGCGGCAACAAGAAAGGAAGAGAAGATTTTCGTAGCGTAGTCACTTTATATGAGCTAAGCGTTATTAAACGACTTAAAGAGTTACTTTAATTTTTTTTGATTCCAAGATCAGAGATAATTGATATTTCTCCGCCGCTTTCTTTTCATTCTTAAAATTCTACTGCTTGAAGTTCTACAAGATAAATATAATTATGGAATGTTTAATACGGCCAAGTTGCACGATAGATGGAACGATACAGACTTCACCCGATGGGGCTAAGCGAGATAAGACGGACAGGAGTTGGACGTATTAAGATGAGAAATGGCTATACAATGATATATGCTGGAGAAGAAAGTGAGCACCAGAGAGGGGTGGCAATCATGATGAGCCAGGACACACAAAAAAGTCTTATTGAATGGAGAGCAGTAAGCAGCCGCATAATAACTGCACGATTCTACTCACGCTTTAAAAATACAACAGTCATCCAAGTGTATGCTCCGACAAATGAATCTACAGATGATGAGAAGGATGGTTTCTACGATCAACTCCAGGCAACTTTTGATACATGCAACAGACATGACGTAGTCATTATTATGGGAGACTTGAACGCAAAAGTTGGTGATGACAACAAAGATATGGAAGGGATAATGGAGAAACATGGATTGGGTAACATAAATGATAATGGCGAACGATTATGTGATTTCTGCTCAATGAATGGCCTTGTGATCACAGGAACATGCTTCCCACACCGAACAACTCATGAAGCAACTTGGGTGTCACCTGACGGAAGAACGCAAAACCAAATTGATCACATGATGATCCGTAAAGAATGAAGGAGATCTGTGGAAGACACCAGAGTGTACCGTGGTGCAGATGCAGCCAGTGATCACTACCTACTAGTTATGAAAATAAAGCTGAAACTACACAGAAACCCAGATAGAGCAAAGACCAATGCAAGATTTGACACACAAAAGCTCGCAAACGAAATGTTCAAAGCAAAGTTCAGCGTCGAACTGCACAACAGATTTGCAGTACGAGAGGTCGAAGAAAATATCAACGAGGACTGCAGACAAAATGGAAAAAGTTTACAAAGAAACTGCAGAAAAAGTCCTAGGTCGAGTGAAGAAGAAAAACAAGCAATGGTTGAGGGAGGAAACCTGGAAAGCAATAGACCAACGGCAGATGATCCATGACAAAGTACACAGCACAAAATCAGAGAGGAGAAAAAGCAAGCTACGACTAGAGTACAAGATGAAAGACAGAGAGGTTAAACGCAGAGCAAGAGAAGACAAAAGGTTTTGGCTAGAACAGATGGGAAATGAAGCAGAAAAGTACTCAGAGAATGGAAGAACCAGAGAACTGTACCAAACAACCAAAAAAATCACCAACAAGCGACGGCGTCAAGTTGCAACAGTTAAGAACAAGAGGGGTGAGATAATAAAAGACAAGAATGCCAGACTTGAAAGATGGGCTGAACACTTTGAGGAGGTACTAGTCAGGGAGGCCCCGGCGAACCCAATTGAAGAAAATGAAGTAGAGACAGACGAAATTAGTGAGATGGATACAACAGAGATAAAGGAA